TCTTAGTGGTAATAGCTGCAGTCACTAACGTGTTTTGAATACTTATCATATGTCAGGCACTCTGCTAAGCTCTTTAATGTATTATGCCATTTATTCCTCATGACAACTCTATGAGGTAAGGACTGTTATTATCCTCACTTCACAGGATAAAAAAAACTGAGGCTTTGTGTGGAGAAGTAATTTGCCAAAGGCTACTCAACCAGTAAATGGTCGAGCCAGGATCCCAGGCCAGGCTGCTGTGCTCCAAAGCTCCCCTCTGACCCACCAGGCTGCATGGCCCTCGGACTCGTCACCAAATTAGCGTGACCAGGTTTTTATGTGCCCACTACACATCCTGCCTCTCACGCTGCAGATCAGTTCTTTACAATTACATTAGGATTCAATTCTGAGATTTTGTTCACAATTTGGTTCCTGACCAGGATGACTTACACAATTTTCTGTCAAATTAAATGGGGCTGGACAATAAAAGTCTGCTGGAACTTCCAAACTGCTGCCGCTTGGGCCATACAAATTTGGACATTTGTTCGGGACCTTTGCTCTGAGTTCCTTGAGGGCAGTGGGAACCAGGAGGCAGTTCCAGCTACAAACACATTTGTTCGCTAATGACTGTGACCATGATACTTGATGAAGGAGAGCTCTTTTCATTAGTCCAAGCCTTGCCAATATAAGCCCCTTCAAACCAAATCTGAAAAGGTGGTTCTGTGATCTTCTCATGAACAATGTCTTGCACAATCACTCCCAGGCAGCCGTAACAGTCTTACTAATCCCACAGAAGGAGACATGTAAGGCCAAATGTAGCCTATTTTACATTTAAAGCCACTCTGAAAATACAAGGTGCTCATTAGCTGACCTAAAACTATGCCTCTTTAGTCATTGGTGAAGCATAGGCATATATTTTTGGTCACATGATGGACTTTACCCTTTACCCAAGAGGCAAAGAGGATGCAAACCAATGCACAAACCAGCAGGCACTGCGTGAAAAGAAAATCTCCCAGGGTCAGACAGAGCTATGGCTGTAGCACGGCAAGCACGAGAGAATTTGACATTTGATTAGATTTCAAGTGTCTCAGCTTCAAGGGTTTCTCCTGTAGTGTTAAATGAACGAAGCAGAAAACAAGTTAAGCATGCAGTAGATCCCTGACATCCAGGAGGGGCATGCTAGACTTCTGGGGGTGCCCACGGTGGCACTGCCACCAGAACATATACTGCCCTGTGTATATAGAGCCTATGATGGGATTAGTGATGTCATAGCTCCAAGTCCCCTGTGAAAAACATTCTTAATTTTAGCCAAAAGCCAATACATTTTTAACTTTATCTTTCCTCCCATTATAACTATTAAGTTTTGGTTTCCCTTTTGAGAGCACTTCTGGCTAGGAAACCAAGTATTTTATCACTTCAAAAAAATGGTGGCGTAAATGACACCAGAAAAGAGCAACAAAGGTCTCTGGGGATGGAACTACTGGCCGCCAGGTAGACTCACTTGTTAGTCTTATAGTGTAAGGGACTCAAGCAAAATGTCTCAGCAAAATGTCAAGTCATTGCAAGTCATGGACATTCTAGCTTGCTTTAGAATAGTAGACAGCAAGAACACTAAGTCACTGATATCCAAGTGTCTATTGCATTCAGTATGATTTCACCTGTGTTATGAGCTATAGACAAAATAAAAAAATAAAGCAAAAGCATTAACAGGAGTTACCTGAGAGCACTAGAGATTATTAGTGAGTTTTATTTTTTTCGTCATAGCTTTTTAACTCATTGACATTTCTAAGTTAACATTAAGACTCAGAGAAAGAGCCCTAAAAACATAAAAATTATTTTGAAAAAAATAGGCTTGAGTTAATGATCTTTTTAGCCCCAAGCACGACTAGATGAACCAATGCACAGCCATGGAGGCCAGTGGATGTTGCTGGTGAGTGAAATGAGCAGGTGATGTTGTTCATTAGTTCAAATATATAACATTTACTTATTTTAAAGCAAATTAATGACAACAGTGATGCTCTTAGGAAAACAAATCCTTAAGTGGATATCAAGGATTATGGTTAATGGTTGTCATATCCAATTTGTTTTGGTTTTAGACATGTAGTAATGAAAAAGTCTCATCATCACAGAGAAGTAGTTGCTAATGGTAACAGCTTTCATAGCTCACCTTGCAATCTTAGGAAATTTAATTTTCCAATTAAGCTGGCATAATTGCAGAAATGAATGAGAGTGCAAAAAGTATTTGCTTTGGCGGTACAATGTTGTTAGAATTGTTACCACAATTTTTATAACTTAACTTAGTTCAAATAAATTAAAATTAATTTGACATGTTTAAATATGTTTGTAAGTTATTATTTAGATAGTGTAAGATATAGAAAATAAAATTTAACAAAGCAACTATGAGAAACAACAGGTCTGTAGGCAGTTTGAAAATCACTCATTTAATATAACGAATAATCTTCTTACCCCCATTTTGTGGGGGAGAAAACTGAGGCCCAGAGGTAAAGTAATGAGCTGAGGGTTATAAACTTAATTATTTAGTAACCTTTTTGCTATTGACGGTCCTTCTGATCTTAACAGGGAATAAATGTCGCTATCTCAATGGAATTTGTTCTCAAATAATATACTAGTACAATAGGTCAGCTCTAGACTAAGGCACATAAAGTAAACAAATATCTCATTGGCTAGATAAAATAAAAAACTCGTGGCTTTAAGATTGTCTATATTTTCCCTTTGGGGGGCTTCTAATTTTGCATACAAAGGCATCGGTTTAATATTATTGTGTCACTCCTGCTTTTACTATTAGACAGTTAATTAAGTCTGTAGTTAGAAAACAGTTCCTTGAGGATGGATTCTGCTAAGTCTGATGGGAGGGTAAAGCTCTTCTATAGTCTGTTTATTCTTACTCAGACCATCACTTCTCATTTTCTCTTTGAATTCAGAAAGGTTGCTTTGATCCCAGGCATGCAAATGAGTTCAGTGAGTTCCCCAGCAGTCCTGAAGTATCTTAAACTTGGAGCAGCATATCTACATTTCCTAAAGCAGATGCCTCTTAAACCTCTCCTACTGCTAAGTATTAATTTTACAGCTTTGTTTAATTACTCCTGGAATAAAAAAAGCAGCTTCCTGGCATGTGCCTTTAACTCACTTTTTCTTTCTCCTTTTCTTTTTTAAATGGCCACCTGTCCCAACATTTATGCATGTGCTGTATTAGATGTTTTAAAATAACATAGGATGCAAAAAAAGCGTACATTTCACGGGCAAACGTCTTTCGATATAGAATGACCTTTTGCTTTTGGATAATAAGACATAGGCCATGAATACGATTCCAACAGAGGAGCTTGGTAAAAATCAGAAGCCAGAAAAAATTGCATAAATTTATTCTGATTGTAAACATTTTCTTAAGATGATTAACGTAATGCTTTTATTTTACAACTGTCTCCCACAGCCATCGCTTTGTTCAAGTTTTTTCCCCGTGGGGAAAAGCTTTATGTAGTCATGGGAGTGAATCCTTCATTTCTCCTAGAAATACACATACACATTTTTATGGAAGTGTGTTTAAGATTTTCAAAGTCTCTCCATGGCTCAGCCAACTTGACTGAATTGGGTTAACTGTGCTTTTCAATGGAATGGAATTTCTGGTATAGATATGGGTAAAGATGTTTAATAATAGAATGATTTTAAAATGGGATTGAGTTACATTAGGTATAATTATCTTGGCTAATAATGCTTCATAGCTTAATATTTCCAAAATAAAGACGTCCAAGCAAAATTCTGACACCTCATTCAAATTTATACCATATACAATTTTTAATATAGAATTTTCTGGTGTAATATGAAGCTACACTAAGCTTCACCTGAATGATATAATTATAAAATACCTATTATTTCTGTTTCTTACATAAAAACCTGTCATTCGGAGTTTACTTTTATAAGCTAGGTATATGAAATAGGCAATTTCACTTCACATGTAGCATTTAGAATTCATGAATACAAGGCAGAAAGAGTCCAAGTAAACTTTAAAAAGTTAACAGCAGAAAGCAAAACCTAAAATTGTATTGTCTTCAATTCAAAGACAGAATGATTTTCATCCACATTGCTCATGTAGTATTTTAAGTATTCAAAGTTTTGTTTTATGCACATATATTTGGTAAACTATGCTTTTAATAAGTAACAATGAAGTGTTTCTCAGAAATTGAAAGAGCTTGCAAAAGACTTCTTTGTCTTTTGGTTTTCATGATTAGTTTTGTAGAAAAGTTTTCTTATGTCCTTCCTCATATATTGGGAGTGAGTAAGCTCATAAAGAGATTTAACAGAAAGTGTTGCAACTATAAATACTACACCTATGACTTGTACTTCTGTGACTACTCCTCATCTGAGATGTTTTATTGGTCAGTCTGATTCCTGATCCTGCAAGTGATTGAGGGCCAATTATGGTTTCCAAAAAGCAAACAGTGATATGTGACAGCATCAAGTGTCTCTTTAATGCTACTAATTAAAAAGACCTTTGAAAATATTTTACTATTGGAAATAAGTCCTGCTTCCTCTTTAATAAGGGCTGAGTTTATTCAAATATAGAACCGTTCTAAGACTGGTTTTGAGTCCAGTTAATCAGTATGAAAAATGGGTCAGCGGGGACCCTGAACGGGCCTGCTGTGATCATGTCACTGACTAGGTAACAGATTTGAAATGGAAAGAATCCTGAGAACATTGTGCCATCACATTTGTTAGGGCCACTGACCTGGACCTTGTTAAGAAGAGAAACAAGTAACCATGATGAACAAAATACCAGAAGAGAAAAAGGACTGTGAGTGCTTCACGCGTAGCTTTACGAATGGAAAATCTGTAGACCCTGGGATGGTATCATAGCAGTAAGAACAAGGGGCATGGACACTAAGAACACCTGGTTCGGAATGGGTACTGGACAGCAACATTTACTTATTTTTAATGAAAACATCTTAATCTAGGAGACTTATTTGAAACTTTATGTTTACAATAGATGAACTGGTAAATAGACTGACCTGGCTGGACAAGGATCCAAGTTGCACTCCTGAAGTTTGGGCTTGGGTTTGATGTTCTCTGGGTAATAATGACAGTACTGATCGGCAACCACGCGGTTGCTCCGAAGATCGTAACACTCTGCCGATGTCAGCTGGTAACCTGCAGTGTCAAACCATATGGGCGAGTTTAAAGGCACAGGTCAATATAATATGTTTCTTCATGCTTTTTAGCCATCCTCACATTAAGGAAATTCTTCCCTGATGTGCCAGTCATTTCCAGGACAAAAGACAGAGAAATGGAAGGCTCATTAACTTTTAATAGTTACCGTATTTGCCGGCGTATAAGACGACTGGGTGTATAAGATGACCCCCTAACATTTCCACTCAAAATACAGAGTTTGTTATATACTCGCCGTATAAGACTACCCCCTCTTCCGCACACCTTCCACACACCAAGTAAAAGGTTAAACAATATCAGATTTGATTTTAACATTTTAATTTATATTCAAATGCTTATGACATGCAGGAAAACTGTCGCAAGGCTGTATGTAATCAAACATATACATAAAACAGTGCACGTTTATTACCGGTAAACATACCGGTAATTCACTAAAGAAAACACACTCTATAGACTGGTACCGTAGAGGCTTCTCAGGAACACAGGCAAGCAGCCCACAACCTAGAGGGACTGTCAATGATAGAAGTAAGATAACAAATAGAGGGAGAGAGCAAGTGCCGGGCAAGTCCCTAGCAAGTTTGCTGGCGTGACAGTTTCACCTTAAAAGCCTTCAAACTCCTCTTCATCATCTGATATTAAAAGTTCATCAACGACATCTTGGTGCCATGATAGGGATGATAGGGGTTTGACTGGTCGACATTTTCTATGCTGTACTGTACAATGGGGCAGTATTGTGGGTGGCTGTTGGCTGTATACAAAGCCTGATTTGATTGGTCCCTGCTCCCTGTTTGCCCGCCCTGTCACTGTAGCAGTCTGGTCCACCCTTGCATCAGCATCTCCCTGGGACCTCACTAGTGCGCAAGTGCGAGCTCTTCAACATTCTAACAGGCACCATGATAGCGCAAAATCGCGAATCTTCAATGCATATGTAAAGAAATATACGGTAACCCGAATTTACCACACTCGCAAAATCGCACACAGCCAACCATACACCCAGTATGGTATCGCGATTCGCGATTTTGCGCTATCATCCTGGGTGTATGGTCGGCTGTGTGCGATTTTGTGAGTGTGGTAAAATCGCATAACAGCAAAATCGCATAACAGCCGAGCATACACCCAGCAGCACTGCTGATGCCTGAACGGTATGTGGAATGAAGTGGGCGGGCATCGGGAGGCCACTATGGCACGGGGCAAGCACTATGGGCAGTCTATCTGAAGTGTACCTGGCGTATAAGACGACCCCCCACTTGGAGGACTATTTTTCAGGGCCAAAAAATCGTCTTATACGCCGGCAAATACGGTAAATCATACTGTAGTTCCCAACCTACATGAGGGCATAAACTAGTTTATAAGACTCTGTCGTAAGAACTATTATTATTTATTTGTTTCACATAATCTAAAAGTCTAACACAGATTCTGCATCCCAAAGAGATCACCAGTATTTATTTACCAATCACCTCATGCAAGGATGCAAAATTGGCTCTGTTGTTCCTGGAGCACCAGAGAGAAAAACTCCCAGATAAATAAATAAATAAACCCCAATACTGCTCCTCTTGTCAACGGGGGACAATGGGAGATAGCACGGGATCAGGTCCTGCCAGCTGCCTGACATTATTTTTGCCTGATTTCAATCTGGCCGGGTTAAACGGAGTAAATGGATGATTAAAACCTTAACAGTAACCATTGTGAATTCCAAGGTTTCCTGCAGATAAAACAACAAGAAGCCTCCTACTGTATAATTTTTGCTTCACCCCAAATCCTTTGTCATTTCTCTTTAAGTTTCTAGCCAATATTTCTTAGGTTCCATGTACAAATTTCCACTCTTAGAGAATCCTCTTGAAAAAAGAAAAAAGTGGTACAGAGTATTACTTAATTCTATTGATAACATGTTTTACCTTTTTTTTTAAACCTGCCTCTTTCTTGTTCTATGGATTTCTGGTACGGTTCTGATGAGGACTTAGATTCTTGGGGTGAAAATAAATGTACACAGAGAATTTTTAAAAATTAGACTTTTTTTTTTCATCATTCTAACCCTAACTAACTCCAAAATATATTCTCTCTGGCAGTGGTTGAATATTGTTGTTACTAAATACATGTTAGGAACGCAGATTTAGAGTACTTAAAAGTCTTGCAAAATTTTTTAGGAAATCAGAGGTTTATAAACCAGAATTCCTAGCTTGAGGCTTTTTCTCAGACCACCCACAAAAATTAATTGTTCATTTAAGACCTAAAAAAAGATCTTTTAACAATTTTACTGTAAAGATGAAAAGCACTTTAATTTAATGGGTACGAGCACATGTTTCATTTAATCTTTTGTTTTATAAGAAAAATCAAAGAGCAAAATTTTATTTTATGCAAGTAAATATATCTTTAGTTGTCAATTATATTATACTCAAAAGCTGATAAGTTTATGACAAGATAATCATTTTATAATTTTTCATAAAATAATTTCTATCCAAGTACAGACTTTATCACATAGTGAGGTGTGGGTACAAGCAAAAAACAAATTATAAATCTGAGATTATGATTTTTAAAAATTATAATTTGTCAGCAAAAAATGTGCTGTGAAGCTTTCTAGAGTATATGAAATGGAAGTTTAGATTAAAAATTAAATAAATGACCAAAATGGTCAGATAATTGTATTTTCTAAAGTTTCAGAAGGTATTTGGAATAGCAATTCTTCACACTTAGCACAATGGTTAACCAGTTGAATCCGGAACCAGAAACATAAAAGACAATTTAGAGATCATTTCTTAAGTAATTTTAAAACTGTGGTCCATGAAGGCTGGTTTCTATATTCCTCACATCTTCGCTCTGAGCAGTAGGTATTCCTTTTACTTCCAAGTAAGATTTCTTTTTTTGTAGAAGGCTTTGATAGCTCAAAACATTTGAAAACCACTGATGGTTCTACTTCTTCACTTAGACGTGAAGAAAATAGGCCAAAGGGCTGGAATATACATCAATCTAACATTCATTGACTCATATAGGGAGCCATTGTCAAGGTTACTCCAAAAGCAGCTTATGTGAAACACATAGTGGGCATATTATTGAATTGCTACTTCTCTAAAAACACAGTGTAATTTAAAACGAAAAAAGAAATTCCTGTGATTTCTTTACTTGAAACCACTCCCTGTGTTAGTCATTAACAGGTGAATCAAAATAACATACTCCCACGAAATATCAACAAAATTGGCAGTTATTTTTTAAACCAAGTAATTTTCTATTCAGGGCATACAGAGCAACTGCAAACACTATTTTATTAAAATGCTTAAGATGTTGAGAGAATAGTTCTTTAATAATCAAGTTAAAAGCACTTTATGTATTTTTGATTAATTGCTTTTAAACTAAAATTTAACTTTGCTTATGGAACCTCACATTCAGCGATTTGTTCACATTATGTAGACGTAGATAACACAGACAAAGATAAATTATGTATGTTAACTATTTTACAAAAATTAATGGATAGTCATTTGTCTTCATTTTGAGGTACCATCCTTCTTTGCTCTTGTCAAAATAATCTAGCGATACCTCTGTGGATTAGTTACTTAAAGCCAGCCAATTAACAGGCTTGCATGAAGCTGGAGCCAGAATGTATTTGATGTGCTCATTTTTAAAGGAATATATATATATATATAATTTTACATCCATTAAATTACCAAAGCTTATAAAGTGATAATCCACGAATGGCTGGCTCAGTTGGAAATGGAACTAAGATATTCTGGAAAGAATTTTGGTAATACATGCCAATGGCCACAAAAATTCTGAAACACACTCTGGAGAATTTATTTCAAGGAAATAATTTCAAAGGAGAAAAATACTTGGGTATCAAGTTATCCATCACATTATAATAGAGAATTTTAAATGAACTAAATGCTCTTCTAAAGGGATATGGCTAAATCAATTATGAAATAATTCAAAGAAATTATTATGTAACCTGTATAATAATGAAGAGCAGAAAAAGGGGGAAAACCTTTTCTAATGGCACAAAATGCTGTCCACACTACAGATGTGATGGGGCAGGGACAGACATTCATTTGGTGAATTTTCAAAAGAGATGTGTTTTTATGAATAAACTAGAGGTCTGGTGCATGAATTTGTGCACGGGTGGTGTCCCTCCACCTGTGATGGGGCTGATCAGGGCCGTCTTGAGTCCTGATCAGGGCCAATCAGGGCCAATCAGGGCCGGAGGCCAGGGAGGGACCATGGGAGGGCTCCAGGGTGTGTCTGGCCCCATCTTGCCCAGTCCCAATCAGTTGGACCCCCGCAGCAAGCTAACCTACCAGTTAGAGCATCTGCCCCCTGGTGGTCAGTGCACATCATAGTGACTGGTCAGTCGACTGCTCGGTCAGACGCTTAGCATATTAGGCTTCTATATATATAGATAAGGCAGTGACATTCCCTTTACTGCACAGATTAAGGGGTAGAGCTGAAAATTAACTAAGACAAAGTCTGCAGTACAGTGATTTCCCCCCCTCTGGTAATAAACTACTTCCTTTAATTAAATTAATCTCTGATTCTTTTTGGACACATCATGCTATAAAATAGGCCATTACAAATACTCTTCACTTGATTCCTGAATAAATAAATTCACTTCAACCAGATGAATAGTTTTTCCTCAAATGAAAAAATCGCCTCCAGACCACACTGTTGCCAAACCCTGACACTTTTTGTCCTGGCCTCCCATGGACTCAAGGAAAGGAGTGAAGACAATTTCCTCTAATGGGACTCCATAGACAGAAACTAGAGCATCTGCCTTATGGGAGGGCTTCAGGATTTGGCCCCATTCAGAAGAAAGGATCTGACCCCACAGCACTAAATTTTTTCTATGCTGAAGTGACTGTACTCTTACAATAGCCAAGTCTTCCCTCTTAGACGCCAACAGACCCTAGGCTAAATGAACAACACTGTTACCTCCTCCACAGGTTGCTGAGCAAGGAAAGAAATCCGTCTCCCTCCATCGGTGGATGATGGGCTGATAGAAGGTGAACTGGACTGTGCTGTTAGCAGGCCCCGAGTTGTGGATCTGTAGGAGACAACAGCAAAGTAGAGGAGCTAGTGTGACAGGCAGGTGCTTTCTGGGTCCCTCGCCATTTGAATAAGGAAGTGTGGTACATCTGATGGCCTTAGGCTGTGTGAAAGGTTGTGTTGGGAGAGAAGTGGCAACAGCCGTATCACCCGTCTTACCATTTAACCAGAGAATGCTTCTGGCATATACCTACTGTCAGTATCATCACTTTCCCAGTTCCGCTGTAATTCCCGTAGGATCTTATCCAAAGCTACTTAGTCCCTCACCTTCTTTTATTTCCACCCTCTCTGGTATAATGGGTATAATTATGTGGATTTTAAAATGTAAGATCAGAAAGAGACAATTTGTTCTAAGAAAATGTTAAGTGCCATTTGCAAAAAAAAAAAAAAAAAAAAAAAAAAAAAAAAAAAAAAATCATATTTTTTAACTCATATGTGGGCCATAAAACTTAAAGCAACAAGTGAACAAACAAAAACAACAACCAAAAACTCAGACACAGACAACAATACAGGGACAATTTAATTTATATTATTTATCCTAATAGTGACCTCATTCTCTTCCCATTTGTTTTAGATTAA